ATATAGATATATATATAGATATATATATATATAGATATTACTTATAAAAAGTTAGACCTTTCTTTGATTCGGCAGCTTGAAGACACTTTGGAGTTAGTTCGTCCCATTCATAAAGATTTCTAAGGAGATAAACATCCGTTCCCCTTCGGTACCGTTGCACATGTCCCCTCTAAATACAGATGCAAGAAGTCATACAGAAGTTACCGTGAACCGAGTGGCCCCACTGACCACCTATCTGTGTACCTGGTGGGACAGGTCACGGCGTGTTGATGGGTCTTCAGACAGGCGCGCCTCTGCAGCCACAGTGTCCGCTGTTTACACGCCGCAGTCCAGCTAAACGCGCTCCGTCCCACCGCGGTCGTGTGACGGCTGAACAACTCTAACATGAGGCGGTTCAACTTATTCGCGTACATGGTGTCCTGACAGTCTTGCAGCTAGCTACTGACAATTTTGCTCTTGACTGTTTGACCAACAGTGCGCACGTGTTTTCTGCTCGGGTAGAAACAACCGAAACTTTTGTTCCTACTGGCGAGACACGTAAAAGTTGCCCCTCCCGACGGGAAACAAGTCTTTGAACACTGTGGGGAATGTTGTATAGCGATTTACTTGTGTAATATATTCGTGACTATTTCAAGGTTTATGTCGTGAACGTTACAAACACTGATGCTTAGCCAGCTTTCGTATTTATTTATTTTTTTTAAAGCTTGCAGTATTTATGCTGTAATGTAAACTCTGCCATCCAAGGTTTATAAGCATTCTTTGACAATTCACTACATCCTTTTTCAGGTTTGTTAAATGATAGCATATTTCAAGAAATATGCCTTACCTTCTAATGAGGAATTACACGACTGTTTCAAACTGCTTTAAGGCCATATCTGCACCGCAGGGAAAAAACAACCAAGCATTTCATTCATAACCATGTAGGAGTCAGCCAGCTTCAATATGAGCCATTATAAACTCACAGGGAGCCACAGTGACTCTGTCCTGTGTGATGTTGTGTTGACTTACTACTGTAACTTTGTGAATCCTTGTGAGCTGTTAAAAAGGCGGTTTGTTGTTGTATGTAGCATTAACAAAGAGACAGTGAGGCGAGACAATGAACAAACAGTTTTATTCGACATCTTACAATAATTTTTGGAGGGAAAAAAAAAAGTTAATTGTTTTATGGTTTAAAATAACCCAACTTTTTTTTTTAGTGTCCACAGGGGCTTATTAATCTTTGCATTAATCTTTGCAATGATACAAGTGAAAACTCCTACCATTGAAAAAGTCTTGTTCTTCGGTCACACTTTAAAAACAACATATTTACAAAGATGAAAGATGTATGAGGGGGGTTCACCTACACAACTGCCTCTATAATGAGACAAGCCTGTTCAACTCATGGAATTTAAAATGGTAAAGTGCACAGATCAGGAGGTTAACTGTGCTCCTCAGCGTCTGCTACGCCGGGAGGGGGATGTTGACCTGAAAGAGAGGTGTTGACCTAACGTTAATACTGCACCAATCACACTTACCCACTCACACTGCAAAATACAAACATGCACAAACAGCCCCCTCCCACCAGACCTACTGTACTCCCAGAGTACCAACACAACTGTACATAATATCCATAACAACGTTTGTTCTGCAGACTCTAGAGAAGGCTTTCTTTCACATTTTAACAAGGTGCTACTAAACAGACTACTGGACTCTACCAAAACAAAAGGGAGGAGGTTGACAAGTCATGTGGCTATTGTTAGAAATTCAGAACTGGCATTTTGCATTTGATAGCTAAGACCACCATGAAGCATTAAAGGCCTTTATTGCATCAGACTTGACCGTACACAGTGAAGCAGAAGCGACTGCAGTTGACAGTACATTTTCATAATATTCAGTCATAGTTTGCCTTTTTAAAGTTATTACAAATATATATATAGATTAAAAAGGACTCCAGCAAAATCACAATGAGACACACAATCAAAACATACAGTTGGAAAAAAAAGGGAAAAAAACGAATACTACCTTGATCGCGACTTAGACTTGTGTTTGCGGCTTGCCTTCTTACCAGACTTGTGATATTTTTCCGTCGACCTTGAGCGACTACGTTTGGATTTTTTAGATTTCTTTTCCTTGCTAACTTCCGGGGTGGGGGACCTACTTGAGTCAGAGTCTGAGCGCTTCTTGCTAGCTTTGGCGGAGCCCTTCTTGCTGGCTTTGCTATCCTGCCGAGAGTGCTTGTCACTCTGAGTGTCCGTGCACGAGTCACTCTCTTTCCTTTTCTTCGATTTGCCATTCTCCTCGGCCACTACAGAGCTTCCTTTATCTTTTTCCTTGTCCTTCTCTTTGGTCTTTGGCTTTTCTTTCTTTTTATCCGACTCTTTCTCCCTCTTTTTCTTGTCTTTCTCATGGCTGTGACTCCTTTCCCTCCCCCTCTCTCTCTCTTTGCTGGAGGCCTTCTGCTTGTGTTTGTTGCTACGACTGCTGTCTCGGCCATCCCGGCTCCTTTTCCTTTCCTTTTCTTTCTCCTTTTCTCTCTCTCGGCTGCGACTGCGGCTGTCTCTGGCCCTGGCTCTGGCCCTGTCTCGCTCTCTGGATCTGGATCTACTCCTGCAGCCCCGGCGCTCCCTGGAGTCGCTGCGTTCTCTCTTGTGGCGGCCTGACCTCTCGGCGCTGCTCCTCCTCCTGTCCCTGCCCTTCTCACTACGATCACTGCGGTGCCTGTGGGAGCTGTGGCTGCGGCTGCGTCTACGAGCCTTGTGGGAGGAGGAGCGGCTACGCCTCCTCTTCCTTCGCGGGGAGGAGGATCGCGATGAACTGCGGGAAGACGCGGAGGAAGAAGAAGACGAGGAGGAAGAAGAACGACGGCTGCTGTGGCTGGAAGTGGAGCGGGAGCTGCTGCTGTGACCGTTGGTTGGGGAATTGCTGCCGCCTCGCCCTGATCGCTCCTTCCCTCTGCCCGGGTGCTTGCTCTCGCTACCCTCCTTCTCACTACGGGACCTACGCCTCTCTACCAAGGGCTCCGCCTCCCTCTCCTTTACTTCCTGTTTGTGTGGATGCTCTGGCTGGCCCTCATCATAATCCCCCTTTTCTCTGCTCAATCTCTCCTTCGCCATCTCTTCTGTAGAAACAAACAACAAAGATAAATATAAACAAGGAAGCATCAGGTGCTGTAAAGACCAGAGACACACTACACAACTTTCACAGTAGTTATGGTTGTAATCTTGAGTGATGTTCAAGGTTACATCAAGTCGGCACTAAATTGGATCTTTTAACTCCTGGTCACACTTTGATCATTTGCACAGATATGTTAACTGAACTTCAGATGTAGTTATTAAGACATGAGCATCGTGTCTTACCACGTGCAAGCAGAGCCTCCTGTGCTTGTTTTTCTTGCAGCTGCTGCGTCTCCCGCTCTTTGCGACGGAAGGCGTCCTGCTTCTCTCGGATGCGGTGGCGCAACTCTTCCTCGTCGGTGTCGGAGGATTCAGACCCTCGCACGCTGCGTTCGTCCTCGTCGTCGCTCTCGTCTGAACCATAGTCACCAAGCCCACCTGCCACAACAGAACCCCCGGGTTGTTGAGTGTTGGTCAGGACAAAGGTTATGCTCTCACAATCAGGTTTCACTTTTGAAAACCCTCAAACCCAACCCAAAGTCCCAGTGAAAGGCACTTAATCCTGCATAACTTTATATTTCACACGAATACATATAGACCTAAAGAAAACCTACTAGAAATTCTTGGTTTTCAAGAGCATGCTTCTATCATCAAAGTGCAAGAATAAACCCAAATCCATCACTGAGATTCCACTTCTAATTAAATGAATCTTTAAACTCAGGAAGGGTATTTGGGTGTTATGGCTTGTGCAAACAGCTTTTCCTGTTCCTACTAACACCCCGCCATTAACTTGAAATATAAATAGTTCCCCCTCCCTTCCCTCCCGGTGACAGAAAAGGGAATACTCACTGAGACCAGTCAGAGAAGCCAGTGCACTTGACTGTGCCAGCTGTTTTGCAGGAGCTTTGATTCACATCAACAACAGGAACAACATGTTAAAACACATACTGCCATTTTCTCATAGGCAAGAGTCGCTAGAGAAGGGGGGGTCACAGATAAAGCACTATTCACAAGAGCTGCCATTGGTAACAAGAGAAAAGAAAAAAAAAAATTGGAGAAAAGAGAGAAGGTTAACACTCAAATCCAAGACAAACAGTCTCACAGGAGGGAAAGAACCAATCTGTACTAATGCACAGTCACTTCAATGGAGGAAGTCCATTGTATCTAAAGGTGGAGGCTGGTCAGATTCAATGCTGAGACTAAAGTCACTCATATCATATTCTTTCAGCAGGACCTTCAATACCATGTACCAGAACAGCAGGTTTTCAAATACTGCTAGTGAAAAGCATTGCTCTGCTCCCTCTCCTTCTGATGCATTAGCAGAGAATGGTTGAAAATGTTTATCAGACATATTCCCATGTCTGTCGCTCAATCACCCTTGTTTACAGGGCTTAGTTGAGTTTCATTTAAACAGATTATTAAGCACATGATGGATTCTCTTCAGAATTAAATACATCTTGGTGACAAGCAGAGATGATGCATTATCTGGGAAAATCAAGAGCAGACCTCGAGTGGCTTTGCGGTGAGTCTCTTTGGCCACATGCTGGATCTCTTCATTGGTGACCTCAAGAAGGATCTCTGTCAGAAGTGTTTTTGTGATGATCATCTAAAGACGAGGGGGGAACACAAACACAATATTCAATATTTCCAATATGTCCTCTTCAAAAACAGTCAGATCAACGACAACCGTCTCCATTCAGAAAAGGTCGTCTGAATGGTCAAACTGACCAGCTGGAACTCCTTTTCCTCCTCCGTCATTTCAGGCTCACTGTCCTCTGCAGGAGGCGATGGGCTCCGACCGGAAAATTCTTTCTTGATGGAGACCTTTTCTTCATCGTCTTGGTCGTCGTTCCCCTCATCATCACTGTCCTGATGCATACAGAGGAAAGGACTGATATTCAACCAACAAGCAGGTGCCAAAGAAAATGGTTCATGACCCTGAATGTCCATCACCAACACAACACAGGAAGCCTAAACTGTTTTTCAAAGTAAACCATTTTACTGTCAAGGCCGGGAATGCGTTACTTACAAATTTACTCTTGCGGGGCACACGTGGCCCGTCACCTTCCTCTTCGGCCTCATGCGCTTTGCTATCGTCTTTTGCTATTTTTGAACGCTCCTTCTCCATTCGCTCTCGCTCCAGCTTCTTCTGCTTCTCTCTGTCCATCTTTTCAAGGCCCTCTCGGATCCATGCAGGTAGTGTGCGTCTTTTTACTGCATCTAAGGTTGAAATACAAGGTCAAAATAAGTTATCCACATCCTGCCATGTTGTTAAGATACATTAACCCATTTTGAGTCTTTATACACTTGTTTACAACAACTTGGAAATTAACATTTACCACGCTGACAGTTTCCTGAACTGAATCTGAACTGTGATCT